AGACCGCCAGCCACACCCTCTCCATCACGTCTCAGGACAATCTGGAAATCACCGTTTCCAAGACAGCTCTTGACGTCCTCAGCAAGCTAGGAGCTGTAAGATTCCTGTTAGGATGCTTATTCCTTTTGGTTGGCTGTAGTAAACCGGATTTAGATAGGTGAAAACAAGGAACCGAGACAGCACCCGTCTTGACCTATTCACACCTTATTCAACCAAACGCGGCCCCCGAGAAATACTTTTAGTCGCGCACAAATTCATGTGCCTAAACAAACCACGGATCTTATGTTGAAGAGGGCGGTCAAACCCATAAATCAGTATTGATTTCATTCTAGTCATGGGTGTTTATCGTGGTCGTAATTGGCTCATGCCTTTTTGCTCCATATTTGCGGCACATTGGTTAAGAAATGCTTCGATATAGCAGAAAGAGTCAAAAAGAGGTCGTTCACATAATTGCGGGCGACAAGCGCGTAGTCGTCGTTTAGTTGAAAAGAGTGAAAATAAACGACTACTCGCGTGATACGAGTAGTATAATTACAAATGTAGTTATTAATTCGTTCAAGTTTACCCTGTTTTCAATGATTAACCTTAGATATTGTTATTTATAGTCCATTTCGACCTGAAGGGTGGTCATCCATTTGCAAACCCTTTCTTCGGAGGACGGAGTTTATTGGCTTTTCGACGTTATTAAACGTCTTTAGTTGTTCTGAACTCAGTGCTGAAAGGCTACGTTTTGCGGCAACCCGGCTTTTGCTCGAGTTGACTCCATAATGCGTGCGTTTAGGCTGATGTTTTAATTCCGTTTTTTCCTTAGGAGATCAGACATTTACGGCTCAATTCAGAGGCTTAGACAGCCGACTGGTGCAAGGGAGAGACAAACCAACGCATTGCTCACTGCAATAAATCTGATCTGTTCAAGTTCAGCAATGATACCCATGTAAGCATTGAGGATGTCACGTTAGGCGAAAGAACTACGATGACGCCTTGCGTCCTCACGCCTCCCAACAAAACGCGAGGTGGAGACGACGTCGGACCCTTCCCCTTCTCCGCCCTGGACCCTAATTATGACTGGATTCTGACTCCTTTGATCCCTTAACACCTGTCCCCCTAATTACTAATGATTGGTTGCTTAAACTTTTGTTAACTCTATCCTCTCTTATATTATTGTATTAGCCTGATGATTAATTAATCGAAAACGTCCGTTCGTCTAACCTGACCTGAAATGTGATATAATCGAATCTCCCAAGATACGCAAATTTTCCGGTCTTGGAAGGCTGTCTACCGACGGGATAAATTGTTCCTTCTCGGGACTGATGATCATCCCATCGATGCTGCGCCCACTCTGTGGCTTACATGGTGGACGCCGACGCACGCGACTTGCTTGCGTTGCCGTTTTAACACTTTTGCCAGTTGTAGTAGACCTTTGTTGTGTTAGCCTACGCGGACTTTTCAACAAACCGGATGCCCTTATTATCACAATTTACCTCTACAATCAATGTTATTCGTCGGGACTTTCGCTGCTCCCCCCTACTGTTTTGCTCGTCGCGGAGACTAACTAAACAACCTGCCTGTCCGTCTGTCTGTCTTTCTCTTTAGTCCTTCGAGGATGCCTACCGATCACCCCAAAGGAATGTCAGCTCATGCACCTCCCCCGGCATTGATACTCCCTACGTCTTGCAAAATCAGACTGGTCTGGATTTGGCAATCATTATTGATGGTCGACCACTGAGAATGGTGAAGGAGAACGCAGCGACCCCAGCCTCAGCGTTAGCGTCAGCCGCATCCTCTTCTGCCGAGTTGAAGTCTGAGACCGCGTCGGCAGCCAGCAGCGGCTTGGTTTGTCATCGAATTTCGAAGTTCGAAACAGTGGGCTTCATTGATGCCGCCCTCGATAAAGGCGTGAGTACTCTGTCTTTTGATTACTGGGCAGCCGAATCGCTGTCTTATGTAACCCTCAGGAATCAGTAGTCTGAACTCTCACTGGGACCTTTTTATCTTATCACAGAGGCGGAGATTCCTTAGCTTCTTTTTAAAGATATGGCTTTCCTGCAGAAAACCTGTACTTTAATTCTTGGTGTTTTTTTCCCTGCCCCCCCCAC